GGCGGGGGCTGCGGCTGCTGCTGCTGCTGCAGCTGGAAGACAAAGCACCGCTTCCCGGAGCTCCCAGAAGCATCGGGAACATGCTGCAGGGACCACCGGCGGGGCTCGGCGGCAGCGGCGGCGGCTGCGGGACCCTCGGCCCCCACGGGCATGAGCGTCACCTGGCGCACGTCGGCGCTGGAGGCGCGGTGCTGGATGCGGAGCGCACGGCCACCGCGCTCGACCCCCGCGCCGCGCGCCCAGCGCGCACCGCACGTGCCGTTCACCTGCAGGCCGGACCCCCGGGCCGCGGGGCTCGGGGCGCACTCGGGGGGCTCGGGGGGCTCCTGGCCGTCCCCGTCCGCGCCGTCGGCCGCCCCGTCGGCCGCCTTGCGCTGCAGCGAGATCTGCACGGAGGAGCTGCGCGTGGGCCGCGCGTCGATGGAGCCCAGGAGCTGCGGGATGAACATGGACGAGCTGCGCTTGAGCGCGCCCACGCCTTCCTGCAGGCCGCCGCTGCCCTGCTCGGCCGGGGCCGGGCCGCTGCGCCGCGGCAGCGTGTGGAATGCCATGAAAAAGTCCTCTTCTGCAGACTCCTGGTCTAGGATCTCCGACTCGGGGGCTGTGTTGCTGCGGCCGGCGCCAAAATGAAACCGAAGCCGATGGGCCATGGTGCCCAGGGGGGCCGGCAGCGACAGGGCGAGCGGCCACCGCGAGCCCCGGGCGGCCGGAAGTCAAAAGCCAACGACACCAACTCCAAGGAAAAGTGTCCCATCTGCCAAACCGTTAGCACTGCGGCCCCGAGAGCGACAGATAGCAGAAATAACCCAAGTGGCAAGCGACATTCCAGGCATGATTGGATAAGAGCAAAAAAGCTCTCGTCCGCACTGTGACAGAGGGTAGGGTGGCCAGAACCACATGACCGCCGGCTCCCCCTCCAATGCCAGCTTGTGGGCTTAGCGGAGCGTCCCCCGCCCCCCCTCGCGCTCACACTCACTCCCTCTTTCTTTAAACAGCAAGAGCCTGAAACTGCACCTTCCCAGCTGCTACTTTTCCATCAGACACTGAGTGGCCCCAGCAGGGAGCTCTCCCAGCTGACGGGGGCAACACACACACACACACACACACACACACACACACACACACACACACACACACACAGAGCATCCCGGTGGCTTTCTATCTAAGCCGTATTGCGGGCTTTGGGGGGGGGCTGCTGCAGAGGCCCAAGACACACAGCATGTCCCCCCCCCCACCCACTCACCCTGGGTCGTCCCCACCCCGGCCAGCCAGCAGGGACATGAGGAGAAATGCCAGGACTTCAGCGAAACCCACTCCCGAGCATCTGATGTTCCAAGTCTCGGTTATTTATGCTATCACGGCACTACCATGATGGAATGAAAACTAATAAACCCTACTATAAATACAATTGCACAGCCACAGAATGAGTGTCCCTTTAATGCAAAATAATTAGACCATGATCTACTAGTAACCAGATCTCAAGGCTGAGGGGCGCAATGCACAGCTCTTCTAGACACAGGATCTACCAGAGAGCTTTCCATTTAAAAGAGAGGGGTGTGTGTGTGTGTGTGTGTGTGTGTGTGTGTGTGTGTGTGTGTGTGTGTGTGTGTCTCACACATAATAAGAAATCAGGCATGGGAGTCGCAGAGTACAGGAACCCAGCTGGAGAAAGCATTCTCTCCCAACTGCCACATGGGAGCCAAGCAGCGTCCCCAGCCCAAAGTGAAGAAGGCTGTCACCCTCCGCATGTGGTTTTGTAGTAACTTTGCTTAAATGCCATGCAGAAAAAAACACCACCAGCAGCTGACTGTCTTCCAGAAAGATGTCAGCAATATTACTGAAGGCACAAACAGAATTCTTTCTCTGTCTCTCTCTTTCTTTTCTTTTCCTTTCTTTCTTTTTTCTCTTTCTTTTCTTTCTTTCTTTCTTTTTTTCTTTCTTCTCTTTCTTCTGCCAAGGGCCAAAAAAAGACCCAAGGGGAAAAACATCCAAGCGCAAGCCCATGCTCAAAACCCTGTCCTGGGTTCTGTAGTTAATGGGAATATATTCTGTGTGTTTTAAAATTTTTACTATTTGCCACAGTCCAGGAACATCAGTAATTTCACAGAGGTTTCTTTAGGAGGGAGTGAAAACTAGGTGAGGGAAATACCAAGCTGCAAAGAGTGACAAAACGTTTATTTTAAAATCTGCAAAGCATGACTTTGTCAACAGTGCTGGGCCTGGGGTGTGGAGGCTTAACCCCGTGTTGACACCCACCCACCCGATCTGTTTCCCAAAGGCAGGGGTTTCCCATGCCAAAAAAAAGTAATCTCCGGGAGGGCCACGGGAGCCTGTGTGTTTAACGCTACCAACTGCCAAGCCACATGACAGCCATGTATTGTCTTAGCAGGATTAATAGTTGACAAAGAAAAACCACCACCGCCAGCATTGGCAGCCTCGGGACAGCCAAGCCGACGCCAGCAGCAAAGCCAGGTGGGGAGAAGGGATGAGCGTCTACCCCAGACCTCTCAGGCCAGGCCTGTCTCCACACAAGGGCGCTCGGGGCTCAGGGCTCTGCTCAGAGCCCCCTGGGGTTCGGCTGGGTCAGCTCAGACAGTCCTACTTCAGACCATGGCTGAAAAGGGTAATGTGTTCCTGGCCGTGAACATCCCTTGAGAAAACAAAACTAAATTGTGACTTAAAACACGCTTCACAAGAGGTGCCACTTTCCCTCAAAGGTGACACTCTCTTTACTTTAAAGAAGAGTGACTCTACTCAATCAAGGACTGGGTAACGGCTGGCCTGGGGCTGGGCCTGTGGGGGCCAGGGGCTTGGCACAGCAGTGCCCTGCGGGCTCTGGTTCACATTCAGGCAGTCTGGTCAGGAGTGAGATGAAGGGCAAGGCCCACACTGAGAAGAACCTCTGCTCTGCATCACGGGAAAGGCCCATGGAGTTATACACGCCGCCACGGGGATGGCGTTCTTTCACGCTACCAATAATCGGTCTCTAAAAAATGTGCAAGGAGGTCACAGCAAAACCACCTAGAACCCAAATATTTTCATAGAAAAAGCTATCAGAATGGGAGGTCCACCCTGTTGGCTTTCTAATTTGGAGAATGTCACTAAGCACCGGGAATGCAGTATGTTTCTGAGCTCTACCGTCAGGGAAAAGGCCCAGAGTCACCGCCGCGGGGGAAGGCCTAGACGGGCCGGCCTGCCCAGGGCTTCTTCTGCAGAGGCTTCTACAGGGTTCCAGGCCTCAGGCATGTCCTTGCCCACACAGCGAAGAATTTCAGCTTGATTTCAAGGCTTCTACGAAGCAAATATCCTCTTAAAGTTGTTAAAATGTGGTGTTTCAGCTGAATTGTGCAGTAACAGATTTTTGCCAAAAGTTTTAGAGAAGGGGAGTTTGACCCGAACAGAGCGATGGTCTCACTTCTGAGAGAGCCTCACAGGCTGACAAGGAGACGTTCTTGGCTATCCTGGTGGTGGGCGTCTGGCTCTGGGGACTGGCTGCACAGCCCTCTCGTGAGATCTGGCCAAATGTTGCTCAGCCAGCACTGCTTCTGATTTCATTTCGAAAATGAAATCTCTGTTCTATCAATTATAGAGCCGCAGAGACTCATCCATCAAGCATTTGTAAAATGGGAGTTTGGATATCAGTGCTATGCCTCAGGTGTATCTTTCGGTCTCTGAGGCTACTTTCTAAGAATCTCCCATGAGAGAACACACTTAAACACACACACACACACACACACACACACACACACACACACACGGAGCCTTTATCTACTAAGTAGATTCATTTTTTACCCTATACTATTGACTAGTTTTGTTTTCCCTGAGAGATTCACTATGAAATTGGTTACAGTTGGAGCGATAGCACAGTGGTAGGGCGTTTGCCTTGTACTCAGCCAACATGGCTGACCCGGGTTCGATTCCTCCTTCCCTCTCGGAGAGCCCGGCAAGCTACCGAGAGTATCTCACCGACACGGCAGAGCCAGGCAAGCTACCTGTGATGTACTCAATATGCCAAAAACAGTAACAACAAAAGTCTCCAATGAAGATGTTACTGGGTCCGCTCGAGCAAATCGATGAACAACGGGAGGACAGTGACAGTGACAGTATATATAATGGGCAGAGAGAGAGAGAGAGAGAGAGAGAGAGAGAGAGAGAGAGAGAGAGAGAGAGAGAGAGAGAGAAAGAAACTTAAGACTGTCACCTTCAGACCATAAGACTGTAATCCATTCAGTTTAAACTGGGGGTGTGGGGAGGAGAGAGGGGGCTCCCAGGTAGTTCTCGGGAGGACCAGGGCCCCTTTCCTGTGGTTCTCAGCCAACCAGACTAGCCGGCTGAGGATCATACAGTGCAGGTATTCAGGACCTCCAGAGTGACATCCTATGATGCCTTTGGACCATGTGGTACTGGGAATTCAACTGGGGTTGGTTACATGCAAGATGCGTGCCTTAAATCATCTCAGCACCCCTGGCTTTTTATTCAAAGACTCTGGGGGGCTGGAGAGATAGTATAGAGCTGAAGGTTCTCCCCTGCATGTAGCTGACCCTGGTAAGATCCCAGCACCTCACAAAGTTCCCCAAGTACCCCCAGAAGTGACCCTGAGCACAGAGCCAAGAGTAGTCCCAGAGGGCCATGGGGTGTGGCCCTTAAAATAAAATACACACACACACACACACACACACACGTAAAGTTTGTGAAACGAATCCAAAGGTTTGTTCATGTAACTATGGTGCCTTTTAATAGATTTGCTTACTACCCTACATTCTAAATAACAGAGTATAAACATACGGTTTGCCAGACTACTACTATGACTTTTATTCACATTAACCATGATAAAATATATCAACCCCTCTGTCTTAGCTGCACAAAGATATTTATTAGCATTAGAAACAGTAATCTGGTGGTGAGGCACAAATAACCTTCTGGGTGGATATATGCCACAGATTTATAAGACGCATCCCCAAATTCAGTGTTTGAAAAATGAAGAGACCAGACCTACTTACCAGTCTGTTCTCGTCAAATACTTCAAATAGGAGTCTGTGATTGGATGGGTTGACCTGGAAAGAGTCATAGATAGAGTTTCAGAAATAATAAGGATGAAATAAGAGACAGAATACACTGCTTTATAATGCACCTCGTTTAACTGAATAAAACTCAAATCCACTCAATCAAGTTTCTATTATTGATTTTTCTATTGTCCTAGGCCTAATGGTTAGGCATATCAGGGGTGGGAGAAAAAAGGCCTCTATCAGCTATTCTCAGGCAGGATCACTGCAAGCAGTGTTAAAGAATTCTGAAATCTCTCTTACAAAAGGTGCCCTCCAACCAGGACTGAAATGCACCTTGCCTTGGTTGTGTGATATCCTGGTTACATCACTGATATTGAAAAAAAAAAAGTGGGGGGAATCCCCATTCATCTAAAGTATATACCTGGGGAAATCTCCGGTCTAATAATAAAAAGATTTTCAGGCCATTGTCCTTAATCAAGGCCCCAAGTCCATATAGCAGCTCATAGCGGGAGAGACTCACCTGGGCTGGGTGCAGTGGGCCTTGCTTGGGGACAGAGCTGGTCAAGGACAACCCATTTGGCCCTTTGTCAGTGCTAGGAAGGGGTGGGGTGGGGGGTGGGCACTGCCCCATGCATTCTGCTTTATCATGGCGCAGACCCTCTAGGATGACTCTCATTTAACTTCCATAGCAGCTCGAGCAGGCAGGCTCTGTCATTTGCCTGAGAGCCCACAGATGCCGCTATGCTAGACTCGGGGGAGCTGGACCAAGTTCGAAGCCCATGACTGGAACATTCTAGAAGCCCCAAACCCACTTCCAACATACGAGTCAAGAATACAGAAAACAAAGGCCTTCAAAAACCAACCCAACAAAACCGGGGAAAAAAAAAGAGTGTGCCTGTGTCTGCAGCTGAGAGGGCCAAAAGCATCAGATGTACTAAGACTCACATAACTGGGGCCAAAGTGTGAAGCTGAAAGGACTTTGCACTGTTCGGGGTTTTTCCGAGGAGAAAGCTATCCTGGAGAGTTAACTGAGGCGGATATTCTTCACCAAGTAATTTAAAATCCATCTGGGCTAGCCTGCACACAGGACCCCACCAAGTATTAAACTATGATGCAGGATTTCAGCTCTGAGCATAACAGAAAACAGATGGTGGCTTTGTAATGGAGGCAAATCTGAGTTTGAAGCACAGAAAATGGTGTTAGGGTTGAAGGAGGTCCCGGGACTGAAGAGAAAGGCTTTCTTGCAGACAGGGTTCCCGGGACTCTACACCAGGAGATCTCATCTGGCCAGGAGATCTCATCTGGCACTTCCTTGAGGTCAAGTAATAGTTAGTTATATGGCCACAGAGGCAAAAATATTTTCTTATAAAAGAGAGGGAAAAAACCCCTTTTCCATGAAATAGCTAAGAAGGCAGAGCATTCCAAAATTTCAGTATGAAGACAATAAAGCCCACAAATCTGCATTTAGCTCTGCTAGATGTTAAAGGTAAGTATTATTTAATTTCAATGATATCTGAATTCCAAAAGTAATTTTTCCCTACCCATATATACTCATACTACATATATGAATTAAAAAATTTTCTTTACTTGCTGGAACATGCTTAGTATTTGGGGATTCTTTTCAGTTTTATTATCACTCAGAGCTGATGACTCAGAAAAGTAAAAATGGAGTTGCATTTTAATTTTTAAAGAAAAATATCTTTTTTTATACTAAAATGGCTTTTGATCAATATGAATCAACTTTGATAATATATCTAGTTATCAAAAAAAATAGTACAAAAAAAAAAAAACCAAAAAACTTACCCTAAAATAAAATTCTTCATTCCATTTTGGGTTCAGCGTCTGGAAGAGAGAAATGATCTTGTGATATCTTTTACAAGCTTTGAGATATTAGCAATCACTAGTACAACGCAGTCTCAAAACAGCTTTCTTGATAAAAAAAATAATAGCACAGAGATTTCAAAGAGGCAATAAAAGAAGAAACCAGCCAATTCTTTTGAGCTGATTCTATAAACCAGACTAGACTGGGCGGGGATGCATTTAGGAACCAGGTGATGCACAGATAAGAAACCGCAAACTGCACACTACCAACCAGCAAAGATGCCCGAGACCGCAGAGTCATCCTCATGAAAACATAAATATACCCTCTACGAAAGAACACAGATACAAATATTCTTGTCAGGAAGGTTATGAACTCGTCCATATCCATCAACCTGTTCCCAACCTTTTGGGAGAGCAAGAAGCAGGTGGCAGAAAGGGGGAAAGTGTTTATTATTTATATCAATACTAAAATGTGAGTATTTGTATGTTCTAGAGAACACTGGTGATCAGATCAGATGATAAAAGAAATGCCACTTCTACACCAAAAGTAATCTTTTTACCTCCAAGTAATCAGGCTTAAAAATGTTCCCCTCCTATCCCTCGATCCTTCTGTCCATCCATCACCCCAACTATCTGTTTAAATTCGCAAGAACCTGGGAAGGATACCTACGTCCTTAGCATGAACAAAAGCCGGGCTGACACGCATCCAGTCAACTAAGATGAAACGGATACTGCAAGAGCAAACACACAGCCCGTGCTCGCATATGCAGCCATTCTCAGGAATACACACAGCTCTTTCAAATCACATCTCAATAGCTGAGCCTGAAAAATCACCACCTCACCAAAGGCTACAGACGTTTTTCAGTTGGATGGCATTTGCTTTTGTCATTCTTACAGGAAAGAGGTAGGAGAAAAAGAAAGAAAAAAAAAAGTCAGGTAGCAATGCAAGATAAAAAAAAAAAAAAACCAAACCACAGACTAATCCATGCAACACTGAACTGGCATCAAAAAGCAAAACAAACCCAGCATTTTCCCCACCCACAAATCCAGTCCTGAATAATGAGGGTCCAGAGTTCGGAGGTGGGGTGGGGTGGGGGGGAGGGAGAGGTGGGGAAGGCTGGCCGAGGAGGCAGGGAGAGAGGTACCCGCCTGTGCAGGCTACAGAGATCCTGGGGACCAGCCTCCCCGAAATAAATGCAGAAGGGAAGAAGCAAATGGCAGGCGAGACACAGAAACAGCAACATGAGACCACAGAACACTGAAGGGCCACGCAGGGGACCACGAGTACAGCGGGTAGACGCGGCTCTGGAAAGCATCGCACCAAGCCCAGCACAGAGATACTAACCCCGAGTCTGGATGTGAGCTGCTGGCCTCCGGGCTACACCCTCCTCTCCCCGGCGTGGAGCAAGGAGGAGGGGTACCTCTCCTCGGAAGAGAAAATCCAGCCCGGGCTCCCCAATCAAAAGGCCGGCTGTGGTTCTCGGCTCCAACCTTGCGGCAAGCAACAGACCCTCCCCCCACCTGGCTCGGCAGAAAAACGGAACCAGTGAAGGATGCCTAACAGCAAACAATGGCCCATCCTTCAAAGGGATCCTCCCCGCTCAGCACAACACCATCCTCCTGCCAAACAGAATTCCCCCCACCCCCCAAACTCCCCTGCAGGCCAGCCCTGGGGCCAGGTAGAGACCACACTGGCAGGGCTGAGACTTACACACACACAAGCAATTCTCGGGTTAGGGGCTCCGAAGGCACCTTGCTCTCTAGGAAATGCAAATCCACTCCCTGCTGACACCTGCACCCGAAAGGTGGCCAGGATGAAAAAGAATGGTTCCCCATAAAGAGCCGGGAGGCAGAGATAAGAACAGAGACTCTGATGGAAAACAGGCATCCTTCATAAAAGGCTCCCAGACCCACTCATTTCAGTTTTACAGACGTTATGAAAACAGGGATGGGCAGACAGAGATTTAATTAGGGACAACAAATCTCTCCTGAAAAAAAGAAACCCCCAAATCTCAGGGAGCCAAACATGTCCACACACAAGTAGTTAGAGGAAAAGCCACGTGCTTTGTGCTTCCCAGGGGCCAAGGAGATAGGGTATAGCCCGGTCTGCTGAAACTAGTCCGCTCACCCCTTCCAACTCCTTTAAACCACGCCATTCCGCTCGCCACCCTTTCAACTCCTTCACAGTTCTTTCGTGAAATAACAAGGCAGCAAGAACTCATCCTTGTTTGGCTGCTTTTCTTAAAATGTCTATTTTCCCCCTTAAAAGGGCAAAAAAGATTTGTGACTTGTAATAGATCTCATTTAAAAATGCTATTTTTACAGTCGTTTACCAAAAAGCCAAACTTGCTTCAAGGTTCATATGAACACCCGTGAGCTCCCTTGAATTTTCAGATTTAACACTGGGGAATCCTTAAATTGAAACATATTCCCATTGGACGATGCAAAGTTTTACAGAGTCGAAAGACAGCATGTGAGTGCAGTAAATGATGACTTAAAATTGTAAGGAGGCACACCTACCTTCTTAATGGTCTTTGTCTGTACTAGTGCAAGTTCTCGGTTCTCATCCGCTACGTACAAAGAAAGCTTCACGTATGGGTCACTGTAAGAAAATATCCAGATTTAATAGGACTATTTTTTTCATTTAGAAATATAACCAAATGGTAAAGGTAAAGGTAAAGGCCCTCCCGTTGATCGTCGATTTGCTCGAGCGGGCCCAGTAACGTCTCCATTGGAGACTTTGTTGTTACTGTGTCTGGCATGTCGAATACTCTCGGTAGCTTGCCGGGCTCTCCGAGAGGGGCGGAGGAATCGAACTCGGGTCGGCCATGTTGGTCGCTTGTAAGGCGAACGCCCTACCCGCTGTGCTAATTATCACTTACCATATAAATTCTACCAACAGAGCAGTAACAGTTCAATATACCTAACAAGTTACTAGACCAAGAAAAGGTTCTACTAACCATAGAAATGATGTTAATTTAAAATTCCTTCTACCTTGAATTAATTATTAATCAGCATTAATAACTAAAATTGCCAAATACCAGTAACATTGATGGGTCTCATTCTCCTAAAGAGCCTTGAATATAATCTCAGGGCTAGGATGAAAGAGACGTTACTGGGGCCTGCTCGAGGCAATTGACGAATAACAGGATGATGAATGATGAATGAATGAATAACTAAAATATTTTATCTGCCAGTGTTTTTTTAGTCTTTCTTCCCTAAACAGATTCCCAAAAGACTACAGGAAAGACTATTAAAACCCATACAAAGGGCTCGCACCATAGCAGAGCAGGTAGGGTGTTTGCCTTGCACATGGCTAACCCAGATTCGATTTCCAGCACGCCATATGGTCCCTGGAGCACCACCAGGAGTGATTCCTGAGTGCAGAGCCAGGAGTAACCCCTGTGCATCGCTGGGTGTGACCCGGAAAGAAAAAAAAAGTCACACAAAATTTGTTCAGACTAGCAGAATCTAACTAAAAATTTTAGCATATGTCTTATCTGTATTCTGATTTCTGCCATGAAATGGAATAAAAATTATTTTCCTTTAAGTGATGGTAAAACACCTATCGTTTTACAGATTAACAGCAAAAAGGACCAGTAGTCTAGTGGGTAGGGTGCTTGCCTTGCACATGACCAACCTGGGTTTGATCCCCAGCTCCCCATATGGCGCCTGAGCTCCACCAAGAGAGTCCTGAACACAGAACCAGGAGTCAAATCTGGGCATCACAGGGTGTGGCCACCAAACAAATGATTATCAACAACAAAATGAACAGCAATAAAACAAAAACCAAACCATAGGCCAGAAAACCCAGAAAGAACTGTTTAGTGTTAGAGATTTCAGTCAAGCCTCAATGAAAAAAGTCAGATTTCCTGACCATCAGCCCTACAGTTCCGGCTATTTTCTTGGGAAACTAAAAGCTTTCAGCAAGAAGTAGACTGAAATGATTGCTTGTGTGGATGAGTTAAGTCCACACACACATTCTAGCGCTGCTAACACCTGGATTGCTAAGATCTAATAAAACTCGTTTCACAGCACCGTGAGATCAAGATCTGCTGGATAACTGGAAATTCTGAAAAATTATAGAAAAGGCTTTCACAGCCCCCAATTTTTTATTCCTCTAATTGCCATTAGCTGTTAATTTATTTCCATTCATTTCATATCCTTTAATGGCTATTCCAGGATGATTAACTCTTATTTTGCAACTTCCAGGATATGTCTAAAGATTATAGGGTATCATAAAATGCTTAACATGAGGTCGACTATTATTTCATACCTCAATAAATATGCCATAAAATTAAATTTTTTTATTAACGCTTTCTTTTGGGCTACACTCGGCAATATTCAGGGGGTCATGTGATGTTGGGGTGAACCCGGGCCTCTGGCATGTAAAGCTTTTGTCGAGGCTGGAGCAATAGCATAAGCGGGTAGGGCGTTTGCCTTGCACGCAGCCAACCTGGGTTCAAATCCCAGCATCCCATGTGGTCCCCTGAGCACTGCCAGGAGTAATTACTGAGTGCAGAGCCAGGAGTAAGCCCTGTGCATCACCGGGTGTGACCCAAAAAGAAAAAAAAATAATAAAGCGTGTGGGCCATCTCCTCCTCCACCCACCGCTAAACTCTTTAAGGAAAAAAGCTGTGACCAAATGAGATGTGTTGGAGCAACAGGGCTATACTTGATCTCTACGAAAGAAATCCAAGGTAGGTGAAAGTATGTTAGTAGAGACAAAAAATATTTCTTCCTCATAAAATGTACTTTAAATGGAAGTATATTACATCTTTGGCAACAGGGGTTGAGGAAACAACAGAATTTACTCAGATACCCTCTAGTATGGGCTGGAGCGATAGCACAGTGGGTAGGGTGTTTGCCTTGCAAGCAGCCAACCCAGGTTCGATTCTTCCGCCCCTCTCGAAGAGCCCGGCAAGCTACTGAGCGTATCCCGCCCACACAGCAAAGCCTGGCAAGCTCCTCATGACGTATTCAAAAACAGTAACAACAAATCTCACAATTTGTTCTGAAACATTACTGGTGCCCGCTCGAGCACAATGATGAACAACGGGAGGACTGTACCACTCTCTAGTATATGTAAGCATTTTTAACATTCTGATTTCAGAAAAACATACGGATCGATCCTTTCCCTCTCACCCATGTCTCTAAAGTTATCTGATTGAAGAACAGTTCATTGCCATACCCCGGCCCTCACCTTCAGCATGAGGACAAAGATGAAGTGAGACCTAGTTCCAAATCAGGGTCTCCAGACCCCATGCACAGATTCCGACTCAGAGTCACATTTGTGTGGTGTCTTAGAGTCCCACATGTGTGACTCTCTGATTCTGCAACAGGTCTGGTGAGGTTAAAACACAGACTGCTAAACCCTAACCTCCAAGAGCTCAAAGACCTAGCAGGACTAAGGTGGGAACTCAGAATGCCCATTTCTAATCAAATCCCAGTGACCCTCCATTTTTTTTTTTTTTGCAGGGGGGAGGTGGCTTGGGTCACACCCAGTGGTGCACAGGGTGTAACTACTGGTGGTGCTCAGGGGACTACATATTGCTAAGGAACAAACCAGGGCGGGTCACACACAAGGCCCGAGCCTTGACCTCTGTTCTCTCTCTCGCTCCGTGCAAATGTTCTTGGGGCTGACAGCAACCCCTCTGGGATCCTCTGCTGCAGATGCCGTTGGAAGAGCGTGCGCTGCTTTTGCTACAGAAACTCATTTTCTATTTCCAGCCACCCAGCAATTGCTAAAAAAAGCTCAAGGCCTGGAGTCTTATCGCCAGCACAGGCTCTGAGTATGCCGTGGAGGTGGGGTGGGGGGTGCGCACTCAGGAGACCCCCACGTCCAACACCTCCGCCGCGCCCACTGCTACCACCTTCACTGCTGCCTGTGATACCCCCACAAGGGAGCACTCAGGGCCCTGGAGCAGCACAGTCACAATCTTCCCTTGGTGCCCTCAACAGTCCAGAGTGGGCACACAGACCTGCAGGGGGTGCCTCTCCTTCCAATGGGGGGCAGGTTTGCACCTGTCCTCCTGAGAACACACAGCCAGGAGGTTGGAGGTTAGACCTACATGGGGCCAGAGCGAGAGTACTGAAGGTTGGGCACTTGCCTTGCATGTGAGCCCAGGTACAATTCTAGGCACTATATATATATATATATATATATATATATATATATATATATATTACCCTATATATAGAGCTGGAGCAATAGTACAGCGGTAGGGTGTTTGCCTTGCATGCAGCCAACTTGGCCAACCTGAGTTCGATTCCTCCACCCTTCTCGAAGAGCCCGGCAAGCTACCGAGAGTATCTCGCCCACACGGCAAAGCCTGGCAAGCTACCCATGACGTATTCGATATGCCAAACACAGTAACAACAAGTCTCACAACGGAGACATTACTGGGCCCGCTCGAGCAAATCGATGAACAACGGGAGGACAGTGCTACAGTGCTACCCTATATATCACCTCGGGAGTGATCCCCGAGTGCCTCGCCAGGAGGAAGCACTGAGCCCTGCTTGCAGTACGTGGCCCTGGAAACCCAACCCAAACCAAACCCAAACAAAGAACCTAGAAACATTCTGGAGGAATCCTGGGTGTGAAAGGATAGTGGCGGAGATGTTGGGTGAGGCGGGGAGTGACAATGGCTCCCCCTCCTGCGCCATCTGAACAGGCAGGCAGACTCCGAGAGGAGGCGGCTGGCACTGATGTCACAAGGAGACATGAGACCAAATGGGAGTTAGGAAGAAACACGGTCCCTAGCCCTCAAGCAGCCAAGACACATGGTGGCTGCACCCATTTTGCTGCCCAAAGAACTAAGGCTGATAAGAGTCTATCTGACACCAATGCCAGCCCAGAGAAGCCTGGACCCCTCCAGAGCGACACTCCCGCGGGAACCAAAGGCAGTGAGAATTATATGAAGGTGGACCCCCACAAAGTTCCACACTCTTTCCCTTGACACAGCCCTAGCAGAGGACTCCATAGGAACCCCAACCTGGGGGACGGTTGGGAGAAACACCTATCCACCAAATCCTCACAGGCCAGCTGGGCACACCCCCATTCTGTGGGTTGCCCCATCTCAACCGGGATGTGTCAATTTCTTCTTTCCTGCTATCCGGTATCCTGGGCTTTCTCACCTCTGGAGAAGCTCCTGTTCTCTCCTGCGTGCATTCCTCTCTTTCCTTCCTCATAAATCACTAAATAAAACACTTTTTATTTATTTTGCGGGGGTGGTATCTTCCAAGTGTGCTCAGGAGGTGCAGGGGCCTCACTGGGCTTCTCGCCATCAGTGAATCAGCCGTCAGTTCAGTGCCAGAGCCTGAGGATGCGACGTTGCTCAAGCCCTACAGTGCCACGAATCCTGAGGGCACTGGGGGTCTCCAGGTGATGCCAAGGGGAACCACGTGTCGACAGGAATGGGTGCGGGCATGTTCCCTAACCACTGCACTATCCCCCAGCCCCAATAGAACCATTTCACTGCACTATTCTTCTCCTGCAACTCTCCTGTGTAGGCAGGTGATGGGCCTGGAAAGAGCCTGGACAGAGGTTAGGGCCGACTGTCCACTTCCTCACTCCAGCCCGAGCACCACGGCGCCCCTAGA